CCCCAAAACCCCAAAACCCCAAAACCCCGCATCAATAAAATATGAGTTTTAATTGAAGAATTATCTTTAAATCCGATTAAATAAATTTAGAATAAAACTAAGAGTAATTTTTGTATTTAATGAAGTCATTCTTTAAAGACTATAGTAAGTCATTTAACTGATAGTAATCAAATATTGCTAGATAATATTGAGAACTTTTTGCAAGAAAAAAATAAATCTTCCACAGGCTGAATGCTTTAAAATTTGAATTAGCCTAAAGTTAGGAATCTAGCTCATGAGACTCTTTATTTCAGATCCCCCATTGAACTAGCTCAGATTTTATAATAAAATGAGGAAGAAAGAAGGAAAAAGGAATAGGTCTTTTCAGATTTCCACCAGTTACTGCAACATAGACTTAAAGAAGAAGAAGGAATTAGTCCAGAGACTTGTGAAACTTATTTTAAAACCTTGAAAAAGTAGAATCTGGTACCTATTGATATTGAAGAGGAATAATAATAAGCATCATAAGCAAACATAAATTCCACATAAATTTAAGATAACTCTTAAAGTAACACAGATGATTATAAGATTATGAATAAATCACCAAAACCGATTGCTTTATAATGTATGACTGTTCCTCCTATAGATTATGATAAGTACAATTAAGACGGGATAAAAGCATGGGATTTAGGATGTTCAGTTGTCGAAGACTTCATACTTCCAGAGCTAAAAAATGATGACTAGAAATCTATCTAAGTAAAAGCTGTAAAATACGATGAAATAATGCAAAATCTTTATCCTCAAGATGTATAAGCAAATATCAAAAGTTCAACACTAAATCAATAAAAGATATAGTATATGTATAAGAATCCTTATCATCAAGAAATAGGAAATACTGATAAAAAATCCTAACTTCATGACTTCTCGAAAGTCATAAACAGAGATAAAGCTGCATGCTTGAATATTAAGATGCTAGGAGGCCATTCAAGAAACAAGAATTAGCTATAGTCCTTATCACACTAGTATGATAACTCTGTTCCAGGGGTGGGTAGATACAATGTTAGTTATGACCAGGTTGCCTATCAAATTTAACCATTAGTTATGAACAAAAAAACATTTAACCGAAGGATTAAGTAAGGAGATTTCAATCACATCTTAGATAGAAGTAGACTAGCTTAGAGCTCTGATGATCTTGACTCTTAAGTGATTGAAAAAAATTCAAGGTTTGAAAAGAAAGAAAGATTGAAATCCTAATCAATAGGATATAGGAGAAGTAATAATAATAAAAATATTAATATTCTAAGAAACCTTTAAGAACTAAGCAAAAAATTCAATTAAACCAATAAATAAACTAAGCTGCAACCATAGCAAGTTGAACAATCCCCTTATAAAAATATAAACTTCACCTCTTTTATTCAAATGAAGAGTAGAAAACAGTTAATTTAAACTAATGTAGTTGGAGTGAGCTCAAGTGAAATCAAATCATATAAATAAATAAGCTAAGATAAACCCAAACAACGATAAAATCTTGGAGTTAAATTTACTATTAATTCAGCAATAATTTGATAAGTATTGCATGAACAGATTATCTTGATTTAATAATTCTTCATGCCTAAAATTCCATCAAAATAGTTTTCTTGGGGTTTTGGGGTTTTGGGG